TGACTGAACCGTCGCCGACGGCTGTAGAGACCAAGATTACTTCAACTGACAAGTATGACGTCAAGAACGTTTTCAGTTTGCCTACCCGAGAACCTGATCAGGTATGGGACAATGTAGAGACACCACAGGACATTGAGGAAATTGATGAGGACATTAACAGCTGGACTTTTAGTCAGGAAAATGTACCAGATGAAGTAAAAGTTGATGTTCACGCAATATGCCSAAGTGAAGCTAAATGGAAGGCATTTGGGTTTGATTCTTCAGCTTTGCAAACTGCTGACCCATGGGCAAGTAGGAACATGTGGTTCCAACAATTAACTCATTCAGTGCGACTGGCAACCCATAACAGGTGCCCATGTGTGGTAAGAATTCCAACGCCAAGCACATGGCCGGCTGTTTTGGAAACAACACCTGAGCCATTGAGTTTTGATTATCAAAATTATGCATTATCCTGGTTAGCTTATCAGCAACAGGCAGCAACAGACGTTTGGTTGTCTATATCAGTGGGTTTATTTGTGCCTAGGAAGAACTGTACATGGCTGATAGCATTACCTTATATCAGTTTAGTTGACAGACATGAACTAGGACAAATGACAGGCCCTGATTATTTAGATGTTCCAGTTAGTAGAGCAAGTACTTGTTTTTGCTTGAATGAGACACATGGTAGTGTGGGTAGGTTTGTGGGAATATTTGAGTGTGACAATTATGGGATGATGTTCAATGTTAGACGACCAACAGATGGAAAGAAGTTACATCCAGTGACTTTTTGGGATCCAGCATCTGAGGAGAGTAGGACTCTGTTAGTTGAATATCAGCCTCTTCCARCTAATGTCACTATTGGGAACTTTAAGGATATTTGGTGGGTGTGCGGTAATAAAGGTTACATAGTCTTACCATACAGTTGGACTGGTTGTTGTTGTTTTATAGCATTTCTCAAACTTCCATATGATGTTTTTATATTACAACAGGGAAGAGCCACCTGACAATGTTCAGCCCACCTCTGATCCTTCTGCTAGATGGAAGAGAGTTAGCTCAGTTCCACAAGCTGGAAGCCTATCATTGGAGAATATCTTTGGGTGAAAAAATGGAGAATAGGACAATTTCCATTTTATGGTGTAACATTTCTTGTTGATCACMTTGACAACATAACATATACTTTACAGGGTTTTGCGAACRAAACGATTAAAGGGTTCAGTCTTTTATCTGACACTCAGAGAACAGAGAAGTCACAGACTGACSCTGTTGAAACACAATATGGCATTGGATTACATTTTGGCTAAACAAGGAGGTTTATGTATGGCACTAAATCTGACAGGAGACGCTTGTTATACTTTGATCCCTGACACCTCGGATAACCTGACTACGGTAATTGAGGCACTGTCAATCATAAGAGATGCTTTTGGCCCTTCTGGATGTGTTTKTTGGTCTGCCACTGCTTGGTTACAAGATCAGTTGGGACCGGTKGGTGCTTTGTTGGTCCAAATTCTAATAGCAGTGGTGTTAGCATTATGTGTGATGTTCTGTTTTTGTACTCTKTTGCTGACTTTCGCGAAAGCCCTGATTTTAAGATGGGTAGGAATGGTGATGCCTAACAACCAAGCACAAATGTCATTATTAGATGGACATGTGAGTGATGAGGAAATGATTCACCTACAGAGTGATGATGTTGTGGACATGTACCCATTTTAAGTATTTTGTTAGGTCTGGTTCCACTTCACAATAGGTCTGTGTGTTGACACTGTGAAGGGAAATGTGTGTAGGACGGGTGCCAATTTTTCTTTGGTTCAGTTTTCTCCTGTTTTTGTAATCTAAGGAGGTAAGATGAATGTAATTTGTTTGTTTTGTTTTGATGGACAGGACAGCAGTTACTCAGAAAATTAGAGTCTTTTTGTTGTGTTGGCTAAAGCCTGGTCTGAAGCTGAAATTGCTACWGTTTTCCTTTTATTACTTCAGTGTTTAATTCTGGCCATGAGTAACTGTTAAGACATCGCATATACTGTTTTTCTTTTCTCTTTATTTACTGATATGTTTATTGTCATATTTTATTTGCCTAAATAGTTATTTTTTTCTTTCTTCTCACATATATATTTTATTATTAATTTTGTTTGATTTTGTTTATTCATTTGATTTGACTCAGTCCTTTATTTTTGACTGAGCACCAGGAGCAGTATAAGTGTCGCAGCTCTGAGGATTTCTTTCTTTTATTTTTTTCTTCTGCTGACTAAAGAAGAGAGATGATGTTAACACATCCTGTATGTAGTTTCATACCTCACAGAACATTACCATTTGGACAATTGTAACATGCTGTTACTTATCGGCATTGTATAAACATAATGATTCAGTTYGTTTTCCATGCATGGTATTGAATCTTATMATTTATTTTGCAAGATACTGGTGTGGTTTGTTTTCTGTGTTTCCAGGAGGACACCAGKCTGATTCTGTTACATGGACTTTGGACTCACATTCTTGGACAGGACTCATAAATCTGTGCAGAATCGGCAGTACAAAGGACTTGGACCCTGAGCTGTGGTGGCTCAAACATTTTTGCCACAGAACAGGACTAAATCCGGCACCATGGGTGACAGAAAAAGAAAAAAAACTACCGTTGTTCAGAACTCATAATCTTCTTTATGTGTTTATCATTTTGGTTTTTATTCCTTATAACGTTGTTTGCTGTGTCAATCATTTAATATGTGTTACTTGTTATTTTGACTGTCATATTTTGATCATCTTATGTAGTGAGCTGTGTCTCATAGAAATATTTACCGGTACCTCACTTTGTGTATGCATGACTCATGTTACATTTGTCCTTACTAGCTTAGGTAACAAACYGGGACGAGATTGGCATTGACACGTCCCTAAAATTAGTTTATGATAATTGTTAGATTCAAACGGAGATTTCCTTCACAGATTGGCTTGGAGTGAGGATTCCTCTGGGACCTGCGGCCTTTTCCCCACCCCTGTTTCATGGGGAGGTTTTCCTGATCATGATGGGTCATTTTAGGCGTATTGCGACGAGTCAGCCTTCAGGTCCCCTGCAGTGACACAGATTTTTAAATGAGTATGCGTGGATTGTTTGTCCATGTAAGTCATGAAGGTGTTTACGGTCAGAGGGCCCGGGGGTGTGGCTGATGTAGACGATTTTGACCTTATTAGAAATTAGGCTTAGTTTACCTACTTTTAAAGTAATATAAAATAATGTGCGCTTAGGACTTTAAATAGGTTATTAGCTAAATTAGACAACATCTAAATTTTAGCCTGTACTGTTTACTTATTTGCTAATGGACAAGTRATATAATCCAATGAATTTGAACAGCAAAGCTCTTGTGTTGCAGTTGTAGCAGGAATATAAGAAAACAGTTTCACTCAAGAACTTTGAATCAATACTTCCTCCTCCTGYTATATCTATAGAGAACAATGGCTTTCTCCACTGGCCTCGCCCTTTTCTCCACTGTCTACAAATGCTAAAATAAACAGGAACTGCAACCTTCCATTGATTAAGCCCTGTTGTGAGACCCCTTTTTAGTGTTCAAAATGGCTGTTTATGTTCTGTGTAAATTTATGTTGTTTGGTTGTCTGAAAAAAAAGAAGAAAAACGAAACAATGCATTTTTCTATCATGACTCAATCACTGTGATAATACCTTGATTTAATCAC